CCCCTCTATACAACCCCCCCATAGGTTCCCCCCTTAATTAACCTTAATTAAGCTTAAATATCCCTAAATAACCTTAATTAAGGGGGGAACCTAGGGGGGGTAGTATAGAGGGGGGTACTACTTGAACCCGTGATTGTAGGGTGAGCTGATGACCAAGCCATGGAGTTGACGGGTTTAGGGACCATGTGATGGCCCGGCGCCGCTTCACGAAACCTGGGCATACCCCAGAACGCACCTCCGGAGATCCCCATCACAAGCATTTTCTAGCCAAGTAGGTGCAAGAGCTATGATGACTGAGTTGCTCTTTAGGAGCGTAAGGTAAGTCACCAAAGTGCAGTTAGATAAAAGAGATTTCTATATAATGCTATCAGAATTCAAGCTCCGTAACATTAACCCAGACCAGATCCTGGTGTGCTTGGACGGATGCCAAAGTGCGCTGGTTCTCGCATATGGCAATGGGAGGAGAGAACCCTGCCTAAAACCCCTGAAAACCTGAAGCCAAGCTTCAAGCTCAGGAGAAAAGACCTTGGGTGCTAAATCCCTCACGCTCTGAACCCTAAACGGCTAAGACCCAAAACCCTGCAGACCAAAGATCCTAAACCCCGCCCATTAAATAAGTTGGGTCATAATCCCCAATCTACCAAAGTATTTTATATCCTAAGCCCGAACCCTAAACCTTACATTTAGACCCGAAATCCTAAAGCTTAATCCCTAAAAGCCTTGCTTTTGAAGTGCCAGCAAGGCCAATGGCTTGCGGCCTCGTTGCTCGTGCGGCGCCGGGTGCCGGATGAGCTGGCACTGAGCTTTGTCGCGGGGCGGGCTTTAAGGTAAACCCGTGATGAACAAACCCAATCCCTTTGGTAGGGATCATAACTAGGGAATATAGGGATAGTGGAAAAGAATGTGGACACTATGTCGGGATCATAGCCCATATGTAGACCCCTGATTAACAAAACCCTTCCGCTTAGTAGGGAGTGTAATTGGGATCCCAATATTAAGGCCCTTAAAGGAAGGGGGTTGATTAAGCACAGGGCCACATTAGGGCCTAGATTGGGGCTTCAAGGTTCTTAGCTTAGGACTTATCATGTTCAATTAGGGTCCAGGGTCTTGGGCTTTTGGCTTGTGCCCTGAACCCCATATGTATATGGTTCTTAGGAACAAAGTCCGAGGCTCAAGGCCTAGGATTTCAGGTCCGGGCCTCAAGGCTTCCTTACTGTTCAGGATTCAGGGTCTAGGGTTTAGGGTTGAGGGCACTGTTTTAGGATTTGTGGTCCGGGGCTGAGGGTTCAGTGACTCGGCCCAAGGGTCTGGGGCTCAGGCTTGCGCGTCCAGATAGTTTCTTGGCACGAGACGGCATACGCCCCCCAAGGTTCCTTCCTATTCAGGTTTAGGGCTTGGTATTTAGGGCTCAAGGATAAGTAGGGTTCACTAAAGTTAACCAAGAGGGAACCTAGAAGTGCAGTAAGTAATTGATGAGATTTGTGCGTTCTTCGGTTTTCCCCCACACTCTCAGTGGGTTGCTAGATTTTAGCAGTCTATGTTGTCCTCGCCCTCCACGCGGAGCCTGACTGCAGTGCTCAATGGCAACGTCCGACCGCAGAGTATCCCTGCAGTGCCCAACCCCACAGTATCCCTGCAGTGCCCATGGCAGCGTAGTCCTGCAGTGCCCAATTCCACAGTATCTCTACAGTGCTCAATGGCAAAGTGTCCTCATAGCTTCCCCAAGCTTTTGCTGTACAAAATCCTAAGAAGTAACACCAAACCATAATTTCAACCCCCATCCTTATCTCGGAAGGGAACCGGAATGGAGGGCCCAGGGCTCATGGTTTCAGTAGTGTCTAAGGTTCAGCTTATGTTGCCAAGATTATGCACGTAACTGCCCCAGAAAAAAAGTGTTTCCCAAGTGCCAAACCCATTGGGAGGCACGGTTCAGAAAGATTGCTTAACGATGCCCTAAACCCCTAAACTCCTCAACCCTAAACCCCTAAACCCTAAACGCTAAGCAGCCTAGGTGGTAGCGGGCTGCGCCGCGGCCTGCGCAGACATGGGGCAGTTTCCAAAATCGGGGCTGACTCTGCTTACAGGAGCTGTGGGGGCCATGTGATAAGGGGTTATATAGGGGTTGTATAGTTTTAGAAGGGGTCCATGCCTTTGAGATTGACCCACGTGCATTTTCGGCAAGCGACGTTTGGAATTACGGAGCCACAGTTAGAGCCTACGAGGTAATACATTGCGCTCATTGTGTGAAAGCTCGTCGGGGCCTTGATGTAGGCAGCTGATGCCCACACAATGCTCACAAGTCGGCATGAGAGCAGCCCGGGCCGCGGCACACTTAGGGCTAAATCCTAAGCTCAACACTCCAAACTCAAACCTGGAACTCTAATCCCTACACCCGTGAACCCGAATTCCTCAATTTAAAGCCTTAAGCTCTCATCCCTAAATCTTTGAATCCCTAACCCACAAAACTTAAACCGCAAGCTTGAGACCTTCACCCCTAAACGCCCTAAACCCTCAACCCCCAAATTTTCCACCCTAAGCCTGAAAACCTAAACCCTAATTCCTAAATTTTGGAACCCTAAGCTTGAAACCCCAACCCCAAAACCCTAAGCCCTCAATCCTAAACCCTCAATCCTAAACCCTAACCCTAAACCCTCAATCCTAAACCCTAACCTGTAACTCCTAAACCTTAAACCACTCACCGATTTTCCCCGGCTAATGGCAAGCCATGCGCCGTCTGCGGCGCGGGAGCTGGCCAGGGGCTTCCCGAGAGTGGGAAGGTTCCCAAGGGTTGAATGGATTTAGTGAAAATAAAATGTCAACTACTATATGATATAGGCTTATGTAGGGGTTATAAAGGGGTTATATAGGGTTGAGGGGTTTAGAGTTCACGACTTTGGGGTTTAAGGTTTAGGAGTTATATAGGGATAACGGAAAAGAAAATGGAAACTAAAGGGATTATAGGGACTATATAGGGGTTACATAGGGATCATGGAAAAGAAAAATGGAAACTACTATTTAGGGTTGAGGGGATTTAGGTTTTTGTTTTTTTTTGGGGTTTGAGGTTCAGGGTTTAGGATCTTAGGGTTCAAGGCTCAAGGTGTAGGATGTCAGGGTTTAAGGTTTAGGGCTTAGGATTTTAAGGTTTAGGATTTTACGTTTTAAGGTTCAGGGTTTAGGATTTAGGGTTTAAGGTTTAGGGTTTAGAATCTTAGGGTTTAAGGTTTAGGGTTTAGGATTGTAGAGTTTAAGGTTTAGGGTTTGGGCTTTCAGGATGTAGGGTTTAGGTTTTCAGGATGGGATGTAGGGTTTATGGGTTTAGGGTTTCGGTATAGGGTTTTAGGGTTCAGGGTTTCACGGGAGTCTCTCAAAGGGGAGTTGTTCCTGGCTGCCTGCAGTCATCAACTCCCGTTGCTCAAGAAGGGGTTGAGGGTTTAGGATTTTAGGGTTTATGGCTGTAGCGGGGTCCTATAGATAATGCCAATCATGTGTTTGCCTATGTTAGGGACAATTTGGGGCTAAAACAGCACTTAGGGCTAGGCAAATTACCCGCAATATTAGCGAGCTGTGTAGGGGCTTAGGGATGTAGGGATTTCCCTAAATTCAATAGAAGCCGCTCCCTATAGTCAGGTTTCCTACTACAATATGGGCTCCCAACATGAATTATCCTCCGCATTTGGGGAACAGTGAAATCCCATGCAGGGATCTTGCGGCTCGTGGATCTTCAGATTTAGGGGTAAAGGGTTTAGGGTTCTAGGGTTTAGGGTATAGTGGTTTAGGGGTTAGGGATTAGGGTTTAGGGGTTTAGGGTTTACCGTTTACTGTGCGGGAGGTCCGTGAGGATTGGGGTCACAGGGATTTGATCGGGTTGCGCAGGACCGGGATATGGCTACTTACAGGGTCAGAAAGAGAAACCATGTACAGAGGAACTACTAAGCTAGCATGAAGCTCCACACAGCGTCCTATAGTGGGCTGCGATGCAGGATCTTCAACCAAGGGATCACGGGAAGATACCTCTCAGTTTGTCATCGCTCTGTTTTTTTGGACTAGGCCACCTCTCTTTCCAGGTTCACCTCCTCCATTACGAGTTGAAGCAGCCTAAGTTCACCAAAGACGTTTTCGGGGTGTAAGTCCCCATTCAGCTCTTTCTTCCATGCTTTGATGGGCTTGTCTCGGTTGATCGCAGTGAGTGGGTCATCCTCGCCATGGTTGATGTCTTAGCGTTCTGGGGTTTGGGGTTTAGGGCCTGAGGGAACTTGTCAAACATTGGAAAAAGGGGGATGAATGAAGACATTCAACCGTTAGCTCCAGATTAAGCCCTGACCCTAAGCCCTTGATGCTGCCATGGCTGGGTAGAGCAGGTTCCAGGTGAAATGAGTGAGTGGTTGGCACCTCCCATTCATTCCATTCATACAAACCTCCCTCCCCTTAGTGGATCTTCCCCAACTATTTAAAGGATACAAAACAGGAACCGTGGACTACAGCGGGGTGGCAAGACTGACTATTGAGGCAAATTATGGTGGCCTCACCCGACAGCCTCGCCCCGAAGCCATAAACCCTCAATATAAGGAATTACATATGAGCTCTAGTCTAAACTCCTTAAAGGGGGGTTATATAGGGGATTATATAGGAGACTACTATAGGGGGGACTATAGCTCATATGGGGGCTAGTATAGGGATCCATTCTCCAACTGGCTTCTGTTTGTGAGGGGCAAAGGGAAAGCGAATGTTGATGGAAGAAATCTTTCACCACCTTTGAACCCTAAACCCTCAACCCTAAATCCTAAACCCCCGAGCTTAAAAGGGAAATCTTGCACCACCCAAAGTTCCCTGAGGCCTAGGCACCACAGCAATATTGGGACCCTAGTGCTGCAACATTTGCTCCATCAACAGTAGCTGCCGAAAAAAGCATCGGCTAAGATTTTTGGGCAGGTGGACAATCTTTTTTCTAGACTGCTGGCTTTCCAGGTTTGAGTTTGAATGGCGGGACGCATGCACAACGCTACCACTAGGGCTCGACATGTTATTCTGTCCTGCACTGCATTTCGGTTTGCAGCTGTGCGGACCTTCCTAGTCTACCTGGCGCTACGCTTCGCTGACTTCCCCTGACTGTGTATGAAGGGTTCCTGCAGCAGTCCTTTCCGAAGCTTCAACTGCTCTTCCAAATTTCAAAACCTCGTGCGTTCAGGTATGCTCTCCATTCCGCGCCCAGCAACACGCCAGGACAGGGGCGTTCATGGCGTCTGGGTCGTAGGATGTACTTTAGCCGGGGCGTCAGCCAGTGTACCAGCTGCAAGGCAGCTATGCGTGATGTTCATGTTTGCTCGCTCTCGGCTTGGGCCTATGAACATGTTTGCCTGAAACTCTTACCCTCCCAACTATGGGCGAGAAGCATTGGGCCCGGAGCCTGAGACATCAGCCGAGGTTCTAGGTTCTGGGTTTGGGGACTTTGCCAGTAGCCTACGCTTGAATCAAAAGCTATCTCTTGTGCATTACTCGAATTCCTGCAACAGCTGTGAAACGCAAGACCTCCCTCAGACTACAGTGGAATCCCCAAAGACCATGTCTTAAACGGACACAGGACTGAGCCTTTATGGGGACCCTTTTCGGGTGTCAGTTTGATGGACTATACAACCCTAAACCCTAAACCCTGAACCTTAAGCCCTAGACGTCCCCACAGAAACTTCCGTGTCAGCTTGGGTGAGTGGGGTAGCTAAGAAGATGCGACAAGGACCTGGGGTACAGTGTAGCCATGGAACTTGCCAAATGGCAGCAAGAGCCGGCGTCTCGTCTCGTATGGTTTAGGGCTT